GGCTGAGGGCAGTGAGAAGGGCAGGAGTCAGGACAGCAGAGGGTGAGGGGTTGAGGGGCAGCAGGCACCAGGGGAGCTGATGGAGCGAGGGGAGGAGACATGGCAGCAGAAGGAAAAGGTAAAGGTTTATAAGATTTATTAATAACTTGGATGCCACAGCGGCACAACCAAACAAGCCACGTGAACTCAGTACTGGTGCACAACACAATTCATTTTGCTCATGGGAGGAAACTCTTAGGCTACGTCTACGCTGTCATGATTTTGTGCAAGAACTCTTTTGCGGAAGAGTTCTTGTGCAAAAACTCTTCCAGAAGAGAGCATCTACACTGGCATGTGCTTGTGAGCAAGAGATGTGCTTTTGCGCAAGAGCATTCATGCTAGTGTAGACGCTCTCTTGCACAAGAAAGCTCTGATGGCCATTTTAACCATAGGGCTTTCTTGCACAAGAAATTCATGTTGCCTGTCTACGCTGGCCTCTTGTGCAAGAATAGTTGTGCAAGAGGGCTTATTCCTGAGTGGGAGCATCACAGTTCTTGTGCAAGAAGCACTAATTTCATACATTAGAACATCAGTGTTCTTGCCCAAGACCTCGTGGCCAGTGTAGACAGGGAGCAAGATCGCACCAATGTAGACACAGCCTGAGATGGAACACTTCCCCCAGCCTCTCCACCCCCTGAGTTAATGTCACACACATTGGGTTAATGCAGGTGCAGGATAGTTGCATGAGGGGGGTTTGGTGGGGGCCAAACTAATCCCTATTCGTAGGAGGATGGTGGGAAAAGTCCTTGGGGGAGGGGGTATCACATGACACCTTTTACTTTTGGTCACATGTCCATCTTGCCCTGAGAGTGTTGCCTCCAGAGGCATGGCTAACGGGGGTCAGGGGTGTGGCTAATGGGGGTCAAAGAGTACATTTAAAAAATATTCTTTGGGTGCACACCCTAATGAAATATGCTGCCCATGCCTATGACAGGAAGCAGTAGAGCATGTAACAGCAGGGCTGGGTCCTAGAGAGCTGAATGCACTGCCTGCAGCACAGTCTGAGGGAAGGGATTGGCTGCTGGGGTTTCTGGGAAGGGGAGGGAGTAGGGGTGGAAGAGCAAGTCAGTCATAGGGGCACCAGTTTAATAATCTCGGATAGGGCACCATAAATCCTAAGGACGACCCTGCTCATAGCTCATGTTTTCTAGACCTTGAATCATTTTTGTTGATCTTCTCTGGACCATCTCCAATTTCTCCACATCTTTCTTGAAATGTGGTGCCCAGAACTGGACTACAGTACTTCAATTGGGATCTAACCAGTGTAGAGTAGAGCAGAAGAATACTTCATGTCTTGCTCCTAATATTTATATTAATGCATCCCAGAATCATGCTTGCTTTTTTTTTGCAATAATATCAGACGGTTGACTCATGTTTTACTTGTTGACTGCTATCACTCTTACAGCCCTTTCTGCAGTACTCCTTCCTTAGACAGTCACTTCCTATTCCATATGTGTGAAACTGATTGTTCCTACGTCGCGTACTTTGTATTTGTCTTTATTAAACTTCATCCTGTTTCTCTCGGACCATTTCTCTAGTTCAGTGGTTCCCAACCTTTTCCAGCATTTGGGCCCCTTTTCAACCTAGTGAAACTTTGTGGACCCCCAAACAATATAGCTGTTTTCAAATGGCAGGTTTGTAAATGAAGGTGTTGATGGTAAAGTGGTGTACAAATGCTTTGGAATGTTGTGCACAGACATTCTGATTGCACTTAGTGTGGCAACTGTACTTATTTTATAGTGCTGCTGGGAGCTTCAGGGGCAGGGATGGATCACTGTGCTCCTTCCAATATTTTGGGTCAAAATCACCTCACTTAGCCAGAGGCAGAAGAGCTGGGGAGATGGGGGATTAGCATAGAGCTGACCAGATATTCAGCTGATACAAATCAACTTAGTCACAGGAGCAACATCAATTTATTCCAGGGGATATGTTTTAGTTGCAGTGTCCAGGCAAAATCCGTGCCCTACTTGTCAGGGAAAGCATCTGAGTATCCTCCTGACAATGTCTGTATCTACCCCACCTGTGCCACAGCTAGCATGACTCTGATCCAGATCTTGGCAGTTTATTCATGCCCTTAGTGCCGCCTCCTGTGCCTTCTGAAGTCCATGTGAATTTTCCCATTGACCGTGAAAGGAATGGCATTGGCTCCAAGGGAAAGACATGACTTTTACAGGTATGCTCTCTTGCAATGATTATACTCAGTATTCCAGACAAGGTGGAGGAGCGATGTTTGAATTTCCACTCTGCCCACCCAAAGTGGAAGAGTATATCCCTCTCTCTCTCCCCCCCACCTTTCCACCACTTCTGCCTCTAACAGGCTAAAACTAATTCATACAGACATTATATAAACTGACATTCTAGTTAATAGGTGCTTTGGAAATTTCCAAGCCATGAGATGTCCTGCAATCTAGAAACTGTGGTTACCAGACATGAGCTAAATGATAAACTGCTGCAACAATGAGCCTTTGCAAGCATTCCTAGGGTCATTGTTGCAAAATAAAACTTGTAATATCTGAATTCGGTGACCATGAGAGCTTCTCTGTTGGAGTGTGTAAGGAATATCCCAGGGGTTAGGGATATTCCCACATTTCACTCATTGACAAGATTTTATTGGGTCAGGACAAGTAACAAAGGGTGGCCCTATTGGGAGAGGATACCGAAGTACTTGCAGCATTAAGGATAACCTTAGGATAGGTGTGTGTACCTTTTAAATTAAAATACTTTCTGTATTCCTGTTATTGGTCACTAAAAATCTGGGAAAGCATTTGGTAAGACTTCCTTTACCATTCATGAATAATGAAAACATTGGAAGGTAATATGTTATCCATGGAATTAATACCTTGTGGGTTACAGCACAGCTGCCCCCTCACCAA